TTTTTGAGATTTTGTAAGTTTGTTAAAAAATAACGTAAAACAAACTTGAATAAATCAAAGAAACTTAATTTTTTTTACGAAAAAACCTCTTTTTTATAATATATTTTATCTCAAATTAAAATATAAAACAATAGCGTTTAAAAAGCAGGTTTTTACGATTTCTTTCGAAATCTATTGATATATTTTTAAAGATTTTATTAGTTTGTTAAAGAATAAATACAAATAAACATCAGTGAATCAGAAGAACATAAGTTTTTTATGACAAAATCTTCTATATAATAACATTTAAAATTATAAAAAAAAAACTGCGCTAATAAAAACAGGTCTCAACTGATTTCTTTTGGAATCTTTTGATATATTTTCACAGATTCTATTAGTTTTTTAAATAAGAAGCTCAAATAAACCTGAGTAAATCAAAAAAACTTATATTTTTTACAACAAAACCCCTTTTTTTTTTAAAAAAAAATCTTTTAAAATTAAGAAAAAAGACAAATGGGTCGAAAAAACAAGTTTTCACTAATTTTTTATAGACACCTTTGATATATTCTTTGAGAATCTGTAGGTTTGTTAAAGAATAAGGTTAATTAAATCTTAGTGAATCAAAGGAATCCAACTTTTTTTTGCGAAAACCCCTATGTAATAACTTTCTATGTAATAACTCATCTAAAATTAAAAAATTAGACAATTTTGTAAAAAATTAGATTTCCACTATTTTCTTTTAAAATCTTTTTATATATTTTCGGAAGTTTTTTGTGTTTGTTAAAACCCTTTTTCTATATTATAACTTATCTAATATTAAAAAATTAGACAATTGCGTCAAAAACAGGTTTCTACTGATTTCTTTCGGAATCTTTTGATATATTTTTAGAGATTCTGTAAGTTTGTTAAAGAAAGGTAAAATAAACAATGTAAATCAAAGGAGACTATGTTTTTTACGACAAAACCCCATTTTCTTTTTTAAAATTTATCTAAAGATAAAAACTAGGACACGTGAGTCAAAAAAAAGATTTTTACTGATTTCTTATAGAATCTTTTGATATATTTTTATAGAATGTATGAGTTTGTTAAAAAATATGGTCAAATAAATTTGAGTGAATCAAAGAAACCTAAGTTAATTACAACAAAACCCAATTTTCTATAGCATAACTTATCTAAAACTCAAAAATACGACAACTGCGTCTAAAAAACAAGTTACCACTAATTTCTATTAGATTCATTTGATATAATTTCAAAGATTTTGTGATGGTGCTGAAGACTAAGAAAAAATAAACCTAAGTGACCTCGTGGAACTTTTGTTTTTTACGACAAAACCCCTTTTTTTATATAATAACTTATATAAAATTAAAAAATAAGACAATTGCGTCAAAAAAACAAGTCTTTACTAATTTTTTTTTAAAATCTTTTAATATTTTTTTAGAGATTCTGTTAATTTAATAAGGAAAACATTGATATAAACTTGAGTAAATCAAAGGAATTTACGTTTTTTACAAAAAACTCTTTTTCTACATAATAACTTATAAAAACTTTAAAATAAGGCATTTGCTTCATATAAATGAGGTTCCCACTGATTTCTATTAGAATATTTTGATATATTTCTAGAGATTATGTGAATTTAATAAATAATAAATTAAAAGAAACCTAAGGAACCCATGTTTTTCAGGACAAAACCCTTTCTCTACATAAAAACTACTCTAAAATTAAAATATAAGACAATTGCGTAAAAAAAAGTTTCCACTAGTTTATTTAGTAATCTTTTTAAATATTTTTGTAGATTTTATAATTTTGTTAAAGAATAAGGTTAAATAAACCTGAGTAAATCAAAGAAACATAAGTTTTTCCGTCAAAACTCCTTTTTTTTATATTATAACTTATCTAAAACTTAAAAATAAGACAAATCCGTCGAAAAAAGTTTCCACTAAATTTATTAAGACTCTTTTAATATAATTTTTAGGATTCTAATGGTTTGTTAAGTAATAAGGTCAAATAAACCTGAGTGAATCAAAAGGACCTAACTTTTTTACGACAAAACCAATTTTTTTATACAATAACTTATCTAAAACTAAATAATAAGACAATTGCGTCAAAAAAATAGGTCTCTACTGAGTTCATTAAAAATCTTTTGATATATTTTTAGAAATTCTGTTGATTTAATAAGGAGTACGGTAAAATAAACCTGAGTAAATCAAAAAAACCCTAAAGATTTTACGACAAAATTCCTTTTTTCTTTATAAAAAAAATCTAAAATTGAAAAACAAGACAATTGCGTCAAAAATAAGTTTCCACTGATTCATTTTGTATCCTTTTAATTTACTTGTAAAGATTATGGATTTGTTAAAAAATCAGGTCATATAAACCTGAGTGAATTAAAGGAACCTAAGTTTTTTACGAGAAAACCTTTTTTTCTATATAATAACTTATTAAAAATCAAAAAACAAAACAATTGCGTCAAAAAAAACAGGTTTATACAAAATTCGTTTGGAATCAATTGACATAATTTCAGAGATTCTGTGAGTTTCTTAAAGAATAAGATTAAATAAACCTGAGTGAATCAAAAAAACCAAAGTTTTTGACGACAAAATCCTTATTTCTATATAATAGCTTTTCTAAACTTAAAAAAATAGACCATTGCTTCGAAAAAAACAGGTTTCCACTGATTTCTATTAAAATCTTTTCATATATTTTTAAAGATTCTGTGGATTTTTTGAAGAATTTATTAAAATAAACCTGAGTGAATCAAAAAAACCAAAGTCTTTTTCGACAAAACCCTTTTTTCTATTTGATAACTTATCTAAAACTAAAATACAATTATTTATCTAAAAATAAAAGACAATTGCGTCAAAAAAAGGTTTTCACTAAATTTTTTTGAAACCTTTAAATATAATTTTACAAATTCTGTGGTTTCGTAAAAGAGTTTATTCAAATAAACCTGAGTGAATCAAAGAAATCTAAGTTTTTTACGACAAAACCTCTTTTTCTATTTATTAACTTATCTAAAATTAAAAAATAAGAAAATTGCGTCAAATAAACAGGTTTCCACTGCTTTGTTTTGAAATTATGAGATTCTTTGGGTTTGATAAAGAAGTAGATCAAATAAATTTGAGTAAAGAAAATTAATCTAAGTTTTTTACGACAAAACCCATTTTTCTATAAATGTCTGGAGAAAATACCAAAAAGCGAGGAACACAATGTGTTGCATTTGGTTGCAATAAAAGAAAACATGGTGGCAATAAAAGAAGTGATAGTGATGGAATCTCTGATGATGAATCATCTTTAAAAAGAAAGTTTCCTAGAACATTTCAAGGTGACTTTCTTAATTATTTTAAAAAATAAAATCATTTAAAATTTTTTTGACCTCTGTTAGTTTGCTTGCAATGTGAACATACGGATTTAAATAATATCAGTTGTGCAAAAAGTATAACAAATTTAATGAAATATCAAATATTATTTTTCCTACTACTTTTATTCAGATTTCCTTCAAACACTGAAAAAAGAAAGAAATGGACCATCAAACTACACCGTCAAGAATGAAGTCCAAGTAGTAGCAGTTTGATATGGTCTGATCATTTTTTAAAAAAAGATATTGACAGAACTGGACAAACTGTTAAGTTAAGGGAAAGTTATTTTCTTAAAAGATTTAAAAAATTATAAAAAAAGGTATATGTTCGATTATATTTTTATGTATTGCACAGGTTTGTTCAATATGTACCTTTTAGTTCTTAATTACCCTATGCAGTGTGCTAGATGGTTTATAACACAACTGTATGGAAAGCAACTAAAACATATAATAACCATTTTGCTATTGTATGCTTTTATTTTATAAATACTGCATGAACTATTAGCTAAGCTCTGTGAGTAAACACAACTTAGAGGTTCCTTCTAGTTAGATATAATATTTAATATAAAAATTATACAGCTATATATAAATACATATTTTTTCTTTTAATATTAGAATATGAAAGAGAGAAAAGTTTCTGTTAATAGGTCAACTTTCGAAAATTCTGAAAAAAGTGATTTGGAAACAAGTGTTATACCTTTCAGCACGAAAGTTGGCTCCCCCAAAAAAATATATAACTGCAGTTTAACTTCAGAAAAACAGATTGTAGAAACAAGATAATTGAGTCTTTAAAAAAGAAAGTAAAAGCGGAACAGCAAAAATCTCGAAGAATGAAAAAAAAATAACATCTCTTAAATCAGTAGTAAAAATATTAAGTCAAAAACAAAAAATATCATCAAATTGTGAAGAATTGCTTTTAAAAACATTTTCAGAAGTTCCTCAGACCAGAAGAATGATTATGCATAAAAATCTTGGTAAAGGATTTAAATATTCAGAAGAAATCAAATCCTTTGCACTTACCCTGCAGTTTTATTCAAGCAAAGCTTATGATTATGTGCGAAAAACATTTAATTTTAATTTACCACATCAAGCACAAATTAGGAAATGGTATGGAAAAGTTTCAGCAGAACCAGGTTTTACAAAGCCAGCTTTTGTAGCACTTAAATACAAGGTTATAGAAGCTGAAAAATTAGGATCTAAAGTCATTTGCTCACTTATGTTAGATAATGGCCATTTAAAAAAATATATCTTGGGATGGAAAAGCATTTAAGGGGAATGTTGATCTTGGGAATCGCATACAAGATGTATCATCCCCGGTTGCAAAAGATGCCCTAGTTCTCATGGCTGATAGTATAAACAGTTCATGGAAAGTTCCATGCGGATATTTTTTTATAGATGGGTTAAATGGTGCCGAACGAGCAAACATTGTAAAATTATGTATTAAACGATTGACAGATGTCAGTGTTGAAGTCATATCACTAACATGTGATGGTCCCTCATGTCACATTTTGATGTTATCAGACCTTGGTGTTTCAATTGATGCTTGCAAAATGAACACTTCTTTTCATGGAAATATATAGTTTATCTTCAAAAACTGCAAGAAAATGAAGGATTACGCCTTGAAAATAAATTAAGACTAGCACATATCAATCGGAGGCAACAAAAGATGAAAGTGAATCTTGCTGCTCAGGCAATTAGTTCAAGTGTAGCTAATGCAATAGAGTTCTGTTGCAAAGATCTTAAATTAATACAGTTTCAAGGAAGATATATTTCACACTTACAAGACTCATCTCATAGATTGTTGCATAAAACAAGAAGAAAAACTGGGTTCTTTGGATTTTTAATGGCAATAAAAAGTTTTAAGCAGGTTAAAATATTTTGTAAAGTTATATTTATATCTGAAAATTGTGTCTTTATGAAAAAGTTAAATATATTGTATGTATTATATATATATATATATATATATATATATATATATATATATATATATATATATATATATATATATATATATATATATATATATATATATATATATATTTTTTTTTTTTTTTTATTTTTTTTTATTTTAATTCACCTCCTCAACTTTTCTTAAATTTGAAAATAAGGCAAATGCGTCAAAAAATCAGATTTCCACTAATTTCTTTGGAAATCTTTCAATACATTATCGCAGATTTTGTGGGTTTGTTAAAAAATAAGATTAAATATACCTAAGTGAATTTAAAGAACCTAAGTTTTTTACGACACCTTTTTCTATATAATAACCAATATAAATGTAAAAAATAAAACAATTGCGTCAAAAAAACTGGTTTACACAAACTTCTTCCGGAAACTTTTGATATAATTATAAAGACTTTGTTAATTTAATAAAGAATATGTTAACAAGAAGAAAAACAACAAAGCTAATTTTATGTTATTAAGTAAAAGAATGCATAAACTCGTTAATTTTTTTTACGAAAATAATTATTTCACTTAAAAATTTCAAAAAAACAAGTTTTCACTGATTTCTTTTAAAATCTTTAAATATATTTACAAGGATTTATAAGTTTGTTAATGAATAAGGTCAAATAAACTTTAGTGAATCGAAGGACCCAAAGTTTGTTACGAATAAAACCCCTATTCTATAAAATAACTTATCTAAAAATTAAAAATAAGACAATTGCGTCAAAAAAACAGGTTTTCACTGATTTATTTTGAAATCTTTTGATATATATTATAAAATTCTGTAGGTTTGTCAAAGAATGAGGTCAAACAAACCAGATAGAATTGAAGTAACCTTAGTTTTTTACGAAAAAACCCATTTTCCTATATTATAACTTATCTAGAATAAAAAAGAAAAAAATTGCATTAAAAAAGCAGATTTCCCATAATTTCTTTTGAAATCATGTGATAAATTTTAAAAGATTCTGTAGGTTTCATAAAAAATAAGGTCAAATAAACCTGGGTGAATCAAAGGAAGCTATTTTTTTTACGATAAAACCCCTTTTTCTATATAATAACTTATCAAAAACAAAAGAAAAAGACAATTGCCTCAAAAAAGCAGGTTTCCATTTATTTCTTTTGGAATCCTCTGATATATTTTCACAGATAATGTTATTTTGTTAAAAATAAGAATACATTAACCTGAGTAAATCAAAGAAACCTAAGTTTTGTACGAAAATACCATTTGCAAAATATAATAACTTATTTAAAGTTAAAAAATAGGACAATTGCGTCAAAAAAACAGGTAAACAGATTTCATTTAGAATCTTTTTACATATCTTTAAAGATTCTGTGGGTTCGTTAAAGAAAAAGTTCAAATAAACTTGAGTGAATAAAAGAAACCTATGTTTTTTATCACAAATGTCCTTTTTCTATATAATAACTTATCTAAAGTTAAAAAATAAGACAATTGCGTCAAAATAACTGGTTTTCCTGATTTCTTTTGTAATCTTTTTATACATTTTTAAAGATTTTGTGCGTTTGTAAAAGATTAAGGTCAAATAAACCTGAGTGAGTCAAAGGAACCTAAGTTTTTTACGACAAAACCACTTTTTTTATATAATAACTTATCTAAATTTAATAAATATGACAATTGCATCAAAAAAACTGGTTTCCACTTATTTCTTTTTGAATCTTTTAAAATGTTTTTAAAGATTTTGTTGATTTATTAAGGAAAAAAATAATAATAAGAAAAACAACTGAGCTAATTTTATGTTTTTCAGTAAATGAATGCTCAAAACGGAAAAGTTCTTTTTACGAAATTTATTATTTCACTAAAAAAACTTTAGAAAACAGGTTTCCACTGAGTTCTTTTATTATCTTTGATAAACTTTTTTATATTTTGTGGGTTTGTTAAAGAATAAGGTCAAATAAACCTGAGTAAATTAACGGAACCTACGTTTAAACGATAAAACCCCTTTTTCTAAATAATATCTCATCTAAAATAAAAAAAGAAGAAAATTGCGTCAAAAAAGCATGTTTCAACTGACTTCTTTTGGAACCTTTTGATATATTATCAGATATTCTAAGGAATTGTTAAAGAATAAGTTCAAATAAACCTGAGTGAATCAAAGGAACCAAAGTTTTTTACGACAAATCCCTTTCTCCTATATAATAACTTATCTAAAATTAAAAACTTAGACAATTACATCAAAAAAGCATGTTTCCCATAATTTCTTTTGGAGTCTTTTAATATATTTATAAAAATTCTGTGGGTTTCATAAAAAATAAGGTCAAATAAACCTGGGTAAACTAAAGGAACCTAAGTTTATTACGATAAAATCCCTTTTTCTATATAATAACCTATCAAAAATAAAAGAAAAAGACATTTGCGTTAAAAAAACAGATTTCCATTGATTTTTTTATAAATCCTTTAATATATTTTCACAGATTTTTTATTTTTGTTAAAAAATAAGAATCATACAGGTAAACAGATTTGATTTAGAATTTTTTATATATTTTAAAGATTCTGTGGGTTTGTTAAAGAAAAAGGTCAAAAAAACTTGAGTGAATTAAAGAAACCTATGTTTTTTATCACAAAAGCCCTTTTTCTATATAATAACTTATCTATAGTTAAAAAATAAGACAATTGGGTCAAAATAACAGGTTTTTACTGATTTCTTTTGTAATCTTTTTATATATTTTTAAATATTGTGCGCGTTTGTTGAATATATATAAGGTCACAAAAACATGAGTGAATCAAAGGAACCTAAGTTTTTTACGATAAAACCACTTTATATAATAACTTATCTAAATTTAATAAATAAGAGAATTGCGTCAAAAAAACAGGTTTCCACTATTTTCTTTTGGAATCTTTTAATATATATTTAAAGATTTTGTTTATTTATTAAAGAATAAGTTAATAAGAAGAAATACATCTGAGCTAATTTTTTGTTTTTTAGTAAAAGAATGCTAAAAACGGGAAAAATCTTTTTACGAAATTCATTTTTTCACAAAAAAACTCTAAAAAACATGTTTTCACTAACTTCTTTTATTATCTTTTCATAAACTTTTGCATACTTTGTAGGTTTCTTAAAGAGTAAGGTCAAATAAACCTAACTAAAATTAAGAAACCTACGTTTATACGATGAAACCCCTTTTTCTAAATAATAACTCATCTAAAATTAAAAAAGAAGACAACTGCGTCAAAAAAACAGAATTGACTGATTTCCTTTTAAAATTTTTTGATATATTTTCACAGATTCTGTGGGTTTAATAAAAAATAATGTGAAATGTACCTAATTGAATCAAAGGAACCTACGGTTTTTAAAACAAAATTTTTTTTTTTCTTTATCATTTTTTCTTTATCATTATTTTTTTTTCTTTATCATTTACTCATCTAAAAGTGAAAAAGAAAAATATTAAGTTAAAAGAACAGATTTCAACTGACTTCTTTTGGAACCTTTTCATATATTTTTAGAGGTTTTATGGAATTGTTAAAGAAAAAGGTCAAAGATACATGAGTGAATCAAAGAAACCTATGTTTTTTACGACAAAACTCTTTGTGAAATATAATAACTTGTTAAAAATTTAAAAATTATACAATCGCGTCGAAAATACAGGTTTCCACTGATTTCTTTTAAAATCTATTAACTTATTTTTTAAGATTATGTTGGTTTATTAAAGAATAAGGTCAAATAAACTTAAGTGAATCAAAGGAACCTAAGTTTTTTACGACAAAACACTTTTTTCTATATAATTACTTATCTAAATTCAAAAAAAAGACAATTGCGTCAAGAAAAACAGGTTTCCCTGCTTTTGTTTGGAATCTTTTGATTTCATTTTTAAGATTATGTTGGTTTGTTAAAGAATAAGGTCATATAAACTTGAGTGAATTAAAGAAATCTAAGTTTTTTTACGACGAAAACCCTTTTTCTTTGTAATAACTTATCTAAAAATAAAAAATAAGACAATTGCGTCAAAAAAACTGGTTTCCACTACTTTCTTTTTCAATCTTTTACGTTCTTTTTTAAGATTATGTTGGTTTGTTAAAGAATAAATTCAAATAAACTTGAGTGATTCAAAGGAACCTAAGTTTTTTACGACAAAACCCTAATTTCTATATAATAACTTATCTAAAAAGAAAAAATAAGACGATTGCGTCAAAAAAAAGGTTTTGACTGCTTTCTTTTGAAATTTTTTGATTTCTTTTTTAAGATTTTGTTGGTTTGTTAAACATTAAGGTCAATCAAACTTGAGTGGATAAAAGAAACTAAAGTTTTTCAAGACAAAACCCTTTTTTCAATATAATAACTTATCTAAATTAAAAAATACAAAAGATTCGCCAAAAAAAAAGGTTTCCACTGCTTTCTTTTGAAACCTTTTAATTCCATTTTTAAGATTTTGTTGGTTTGTTAAAGAATAAGGTCAAATAAACTTGAGTAAATCAAAGGAACTTAAGTTTTTTACGACAAAACCCCTTTTTCTATATAATATTTTATCTAAAACTAAAAAATAAGACAATTGCGTCAAAAAAAGTGGTTTCCACTGCTTTCTTTTGGAGTCTTTTGATTTCTTTTTCAAGATTATGTTGATTTAATATAGAATAAGTTAATAAAAAGAAAATAAACCAAGCTGATTTTATATTTTTAGTGAAAAAATAAAAAACTCTACAATTTTTTTACGAAAATCATTATTTCACTTAAAAACAAAAAAAAACAGGTTTTCACTGCTTTGTTTTGGAATCTTTTGATTTCTTTTTGAAGAATATGTAGGTTTGTTAAAAAATAAAGTCAAATAAACTTGAGTGAATTAAAGGAACCTAAGTTTTTTACGACAAGTCCCTTTTTTTTCTATATAATAACTTATCTCGAATTAAAAATCAAGACAATTGCGTCAAAAAACAGGTTTCTTTGCTTTTTTTTAGAGTCTTTCGATTTCTTTTTTTATTATTATGTTGGTTTGTTAAAGAAAAAGATCATATAAACATGAGTGAATCAAAGGAACCTAAGTTTTTTACGAGAAAACCCCTGTTTCTATATAATAACTAATCTAAAATATAAAAAAAGGCAATTGCGTCAAAAAAAGCTTTCTTCTTGAACCTTGTGATTTCTTTTCTAAGATTATGTTGGTTTGCTAAAAAATAAGGTCAAGAAAACTTAAGTGAAACAAAGAAACCTAATACTTTTACGACAAAACCCCTTTTTCCATAGAATAACTTATCTCAATTTTTGAAATATGACAATTACGTAAAAAAAGCGGGTTTCCACTAAGTTCTTTTCAAATCTTTACATATATTTTCAGAGATTCTGTTAGCATGTAAAAGAAAAAGGTCAAACAACTTAAGTGAATCTAAGGAATTTCAGTTTTTTACGACAAAACTTTTTTTTTATTTTTTATACTTATCTGAATTAAAAAAATAAGACAGTTGCGTCAAAAAAACTGGTTTTCACTACTTTTTTTTGAAATCGTTTGATTTCATTTTTAAAATTATGGTGGTTTGTTGAATGATAAGGTCAAAAAAACCTAAGTGAATCAAAGGAACCTAAGTTTTTTTACGACAAAACCCCTTTTTCTATATAATAACTTATCTAAAATTAAAAAATAAGACAATTGCGTCAAAAAAAACTGGTTTCCACCTCTTTCTTTTTGAATCTTTAGAGTTCTTTTTTAAGATTATGTTGGTTTGTTAAAGAATAAATTCAAATAAACTTGAGTGAATCAAAGGAACCTTAGTTTTTTACGACAAAACCCTATTTTCTGTATAATAACTTATCTAAAAATAAAAAATAAGACGATTGCGTCAAAAAAAATGGTTTCGACTGCTTTCTTTCGGAATCTTCTGATTTCTTTTTTAAGATTATGTTGGTTTTTTAAACATTAAGGTCAATCAAACTTGAGTGAATGAAAGGAACCTAAGTTTTTTAAGACAAAACCCTTTTTTTAATATAATAACTTATCTAAATTAAAAAATACGAAAGTTACGTCAAAAAAAAAGGTTTTCACTGCTCTCTTTTGGAACCTTTTGATTCCTTTTTTAAGATAAAGTTGGTTTGTTGAAGAATAAGGTCAAATAAACCTAAGTGAATCAAAGGAACTAAAGTTTTTTACGGTTAAGCCTCTTTTTCTATATAATAACTTATGTAAAATTAATAAATAAGACAATTGCGTCAAAAAAACAGGTTTTTACTGCTTTCTTTTGGAATCTTCTGATCTCATTTTTAAGAATATGTTGGTTTGTTAAATAATAAGGTCAAATAAAGTTGATTGAATCAAATGAATTTAAGTTTTATCTAAACTTAAAAAATAAGACAATTGCGTCTAAATAACGTTGGATCTAAGCAAAGAACGATTTTAGCTACGTACCCATGAAAAGAAACCCCTTTAGTATATCTTTGAGTGCAATTATAAGCAGAACAAGATAAAGCCATGATCTTTATACACCTATATTCTATTTGAAAGCTAAAATTTCAACAAAATAATCCACTTAAGAAATATTATAATTTTAAAAGTGTTAAATACATCAAGTTAATTACGCCTTAAACCTATATTATAAATTGTTTAATGCTTAAACGTGACGTCACGCGCCTCAAGAGGTTGGCTTCAAAAGTTTGTGAATGTTAACTTACGGTAAAGCGAATTTTAATAGTATATTAATTTAATATACCTATTTGATATTTTTTTTTATTGGTAGTTTTCTAAAAGATTTTCAAAAGAGAAAATTGAGGAGAAAATGGATACAAGTTATGCGGAGGGATGGTTTTACTCCTAGTAAACAGTCTAAACTTTGTGGTAAACATTTCACAATTGATTGCTATGAAGGAAGTCCTTGGAGTTCACAAAAGAAACTAAAAAGTGATGCAATTCCTTCTATATTAGATTTTCCAACACGTTTAAAAAAAAGTACTTATTCTAGAAAACCACCAAAAAACAGACTAAGTATTATTTCAAATAATATCACCAATGATTCAATACAGTAAGTCTAATTCAACTAATCCTTTTGCAATGGCATATATTGATTTAAAATTATTTAGTTTACTTTTTGTAACATAATACCTATATATTTTTAGGAACAATAACGTTGACAATTATATTATTAATGTTAACAATAATATCACCAATGATTCAATACAGTAAGTCTAATGTAACTAATCCTTTTGCAATGGCATATATTGATTTAAAATTATTAAGTTTACTTTTTGTAACATAATACCTATATATTTTTAGGAACAATAACGTTGACAATTATATTATTAATGTTAACAATAATATCACCAATGATTCAATACAGTAAGTCTAATGTAACTAATCTTTTTGCAATGGCATATATTGATTTAAAATTATTAAGTTTACTTTTTGTAACATAATACCTATATATTTTTAGGAACAATAACATCGACAATTATATCATTGATGTTAACAATAATATCACTAATGATTCAATACAGTAAGTCGAATGTAATTACTTTACAATAGCATACTTTACAATTAATTTTACAATGGCGTATATTGATTTAAGCGTTTGAGTTTATTTTTTGTGACATTTAACACCTTTATATTTTTAGGAACAATAATGTTGCAAATTGTCAAATCAATCCTAAAAATAATGGTAAACGGTATATTGGTGATTTTAATGAAAATGATATGTTAATACCAGAAAATAGTAAAAAGTTTTTAAAATTATCTATAAGTAAACTTGCTGCCAAACAAAAGAAAATTAAAATGCTTCAGCAATCCAAGCGTCGTCTAATTAAAAGGATTAAAGACTTATATTCATTCCTTCGTCATTTTAAATCAAAAAATATAATTTCTGAAGAAGTATCAACAACACTAATGGTATGATATAAATTTTTATTATGAGTAGTTGTTAAACGTATTTATATTTGTGACTTTAATTTTATTTATTTTTTTATTTAATTATTTTAAATATTTGTTAGTTATTTAAGTTATACCTTTAGGATTATTTTGTTTCAGTCAACCTACTGTTGAAAAATGGTTTTAATTTAGTAATTTTTTATGATTAAAAATTTACTACATTAATCATTAGATAACAGTTAGGAAAAAATTTAATTCATTACAGTTACGGTAGGAATAGCAATGAATTAATTATTGCATTTGTCACAGTAACAACTGTTGTTATGATTGTAATGCTATTGTAATAATTTGGTGTATGACTCTTCTTTTAATTTTAACTATTTTTACAAGTGTGTGTGTTTGGGTTATTGTGTATCATTTACATAAAATCTGTTTGGCTTTTTACTCTGCTATCACCTTAATATCCGAATCAATAATTTTACTTCATTAGGTTATCAAGTATAAATATAATATTGTAACTAATAATATATTAATTTATTTAATTTATTTAATTACAGGGAACTATGTCTGAGTCTACAAAACAGTTGTTTTGTCGGATTTTACAAGGAAAAGTTAAAAAGCATTACCCACCAGAGTTACGAAGCTTTGCTTTAACATTAAATTTCTATTCTGCTAAAGCATATAGTTATGTTAGAAAAACATTTAATAATGCACTTCCTCATCCACGAACTATACAAAAATGGTATGAAAGTGTTGACTGTTCCCCTGGATTTAGTAAAGAAGCTTTAGTTACTCTTCATAGCAAAGTAAAAGAGGCTCAGAAAATTGGTCAACGTGTTGTTTGTTCCTTGATGCTAGATGAGATGGCTATTAGAAAATAAATTGAATGGACAGGTCATAAATTTTCTGGTTTTATTGATTTTGGTGCTGATGTTAATAATGATAGTTTACCCGAAGCAAAAGAAGCCTTAGTTTTTATGGTTAACTGTGTTAATGGACGTTGGAAGCTTCCTGTTGCATATTTTTTAATTGATAATTTAGGCGGTTTTGAAAAAGCTAATATTGTTAAACATTGTTTACAGTTTATTTATGAAAGTGGTGCAGAAATTATATCGGTTACATTTGATGGAGCGGCTTCAAATATTAGTATGGCAAATTTTTTAGGATTCAATATTTCTATTGAAAACATGAAAACTTGGTTTCCTCATCCTATATCAAATCGTCCAATACACATTTTACCAGATCCTCCACACATGTTAAAGCTCATACGAAATGCACTAGCAAGTAGACCAGCAATTTATGATACTAATGGGAATCCTATAGAGTGGTCATACTTGCATAAATTAGTAGATATACAGAATAGTGAAGGTCTGCATATTGCTACAAAAATTAGAAGTCGACACATTGACTGGGTACGGGAAAAAATGAAAGTAAAAATTGCAGCTCAGACTTTAAGTTTAAGTGTGGCAAAAGCATTAAAGTATTTAAGACAAACAAACCACCCTTTAAATTTTAAGAATAGTAAACCAAATGAAACTTTTGTTACATCATTAATGATGCGTTTGATATTTTAAATAGTCGGAATTTACTTGCAAAAAATTTGAAGTGCGGCATACAAAATTGGAACAAAGAAAAAATATTTTTACGCATTGATCAAATAATTGAATATCTGAAAAGCCTAAGAGAATTACCAGATGGACAATTTATGTGTACATCAGGAAGAAAAATTGGTTTTCTAGGTATGATAATTAGTCTGAATTCTTTGAAGTCAATTTATGATGAAAATGTTAATAGCAATCAACCGATATTAAAATATGTTTTAGCATATAAATTGTCCCAAGACCATCTTGAAGTTTTTTATAGTGCTATTCGTAGTTGTGGTGGTCATAATAAAAACCCAACAGCTCGCCAATTTGAAAGTGCATATAAACGTCTTTTGATTCATTGTGAAGTGACTGGCTCTCAAAATGCAATTTGCTTAGATCAAACACCAATATCAATTTTAATTGTAAGTAGTAACCAAAAGTCTCAAATTATACCATCGGGAATACAATTTTTAAATGCTAATTTACAGGGTGATATTGATATTTTTGAAAGTCAGTCTCATTTACATGACCATGCTTATTATAAGCTTCCAGAATTTGAAACGCTATCTTTTTACGTTGTTGATGTTGTAAGCTATATTGCTGGGTTTGTAGTTCGGCAAGTTAAACAAGTTGTAAAATGTAATCCTTGCATTTGTGCCTTAACTCTGGATGAAAATACTTCTACACTTGTGACACTAAAACATTATACCTTAAATCCAAAGACTGGCCTTATAAACGCATCAACGGATGTTATTTATTTATGCAAGTTAGCTGAAACAGAATTTAGAATATTAGAGCAAACAGGTAGTTTAAATAAAAGGAACGTAATAGAAATATTAGTGGTCAAATGTTTGCGCAATATGCACAATTCTGTTTTTAGTTGTTTGTTTGATCATATGTTTGACGAAGATCCTCAAGGTAATCATATAATATCTTAAATCAAAATTATTCTTGCTAAATATTTAAAGATACGATTGCACCACAAAGCTAAATCGATCAACGATTTGCGACATAATAAACGTATACAAAGTGTATTAACAAAGCAAATTTTATTTTCGAATCAATAAAAAGTTATTTTGTATATTAATGTATTAACTGTAACGTTTTAAGATAATGGCTTCAAAATATTAAACATACGGCGTATCTATCAGTTTATATGGTCAAAGGTTTCCACAGCTTTCTTTTGGAATCTTTTGACTTCTATTTTAAGATTATGTTGGTTTGTTAAAAAATAAGGTCAAGAACTCTTGAGTGAATCAAAGAAACCTAAGTTTTTTACGACAAAACCCCTTTTTCTAACGAATAACTTATCTCAATTTATAAAATATGACAATTGCGTTAAAAAAGCGGGTTTCCACTAATTTCTATTCAAATCTTTTAATATATTTTAAAATATTCTGTTAGTTTGTTAAAGAAAAAGGTCAATAACTTAAATGAATCAAAGAAACTTAAGTTTTTTACAACAAAATATTTTATATATTTTTATATACTTATCTAAATTAAAAAAATAAGACAAATGCGTCAAAAAAACTAGTTTTCACTGCTTTCTTTTGGAATATTTTCATTTCTTTTTTAAGATAATGTTGGTTTAATAAAGAATAAATTCAAATAAACTTTAGTAAATCAAAGGAACCTAAGTTTTTTACGACAAAACCCCTTTTTCTATATAATAACTTATCTAAAATTAAAAAAAAAGACAATTGAGTCAAAAAAACAGGTTTCCACTGCTTTTCTGTAGAATCTTTTGATTTCTGTTTTAAAATTATGATGGTTTGTTAAAGAAAAAGGACAAATAAATTTTTGTGAATCAAAGGAACCAATGTTTTTAACGACAAAACTCAATTTCTATATAATAACTTATCTAAATTTAAAAAAAAAGACAATTGCTAAAAATAAAACAGGTTTCCCTGCTTTCTTTTAAAATCTTTTCAATTCTTTTTTAAGATTATGTTGGTTTATTATAGGTCAAATAAACTTTCCTAAAATTAAAAAATAAGACAATTGCCTCAAAAAAACAGGTTTCCCCCGGTTTTTATTTGGAATCTTTTGATTTCATTATCATGATAATGATGGTTTGTTAAAGTATAAGCTCAAATAAACTTGAGTGAATCAAAGAAATCTAAGTTTTTTACGAGAAAACCCCTTTTTCTATATAATAACTTATCTAAAATTAAAAAATAAGAAAATTGCGTCTAAAAAACAGGTTTCACTGCTTTCTTTACGAATCTTTTGACTTCTTTTGTAAGATTGTGTTGATTTAATCAGGATTAAGTCAATAAAAAGAAAAATAACATAGCCAATTTTATGTTTTTTAGTGAAAGAATAAAAAACACGACAATTTTTTTAAAGGAAAATCATTATTTCACTTTAAAACAAAAAAAACAAACAGGTTTCCACTGTTTTCTTTTGGGTTTTTTTGAATTTTTTTTTTAAATTATATTAATTTGTTAAAGAAAAATGTCGAATAAACTTGAGTGATTCAAAGTAACCTAAGATGTTTACGACAAAACTCCTTTTTCTATATAATAACATAACTAAAATTAAAAAAAAAGATATTTGCTTCAAAAAAAAAACGTTTTTACTGCATTCATTTGGAATCTTTCGACTTCTAATTTAAAACTATGTTGGTTTGTTGAAGAATAAGGTCAAGTAAACCTGAGTGAATCAGAGTCAAATAAAACTAAGTGAATCAAAAGAACCTTAGTTTTTTACGACAAAACCCAATTTTCTATATAATAACTTATCTAAATTTAAAAAATAAGACAGTTTCGTCAAAAAAAAACGTTTCCACTGATTTCATATGGAATCTTTTAATTTCTTTTCTAAGATTATGTTGGTTTAATAAGGAATAAGTCATTAAAAAGAAAAATAACCTAGCTGATTTTGTGTTTCTTAGTAAAAGAATAAAAAACTTGACAAATTTTTTTACGAAATACATTATTTCACTTAAAGACAAAAAAAAAAAAACAGGTTTCCACTGGTTTATTTTGAAATCTTTTGATTTTTTTTTTAACATTATGTTGGTTTGTTAAAAAACAAGGTCAAATAAACTTTAGTGAATTAAAGGAATCTATATGTTTTTCACGACAAAACTCCTTTTTTTATATAACAACATATCTAAAATTAAAAAGTAAGACAATTGCGTAAGAAAAACAAGTTTCCACTGCTTTCTTTTGGTATCTTTTGATATCTTTTTTAATATTATGTTGATTTGTTAAAGACTAAGGTCAAATAGCAATGAGTGAATTAAAGGAACCTAAATTTTTTACGACAAAACCCCTTTTTCTAAGAAATAACTTATTTAAAATTAAAAAAAAAAACTGCGTCAAAAAAACAGATTTCCACCACCTTCTTTTACAATCTTTTGATTTCTTTTTTATGATTATGTTGGTTTCTTAAACAATAAGGTCTAACAAACTTGAGTGAACCAAAGAAACCAAAGTTTTTTACGACAAGACCTCTTTTTATATATAATAACTTATCAAAACTAAAAAATAAGACAATTGCGTCAAAAAAACAGGTTTCCACTGATTTCTTTTGAAATCTTTTGATTTCTTTTTTATGATTATGTTAGTTTGTTAAAGAATAAGGTCAAATAAACTTGAGTGAATCAAAGGAACCTAAGTTTTTTACGACAAAACCCCTTTTTCAATAAAATAACTTATCTAAAATTAAAAAATAAGACAATTGCGTCAAAAAAACAGGTTTCCACTGCTTTCATTTGGAATCTTTTAATTTATTTTTTATGATTATGTTCGTTTGTTAAAGAATAAGGTCAAAGAAACTTGAGTGAATCAAAGGAACCTAAGTTTTTTACGACAAAACCCCTTTTTCTATATAATAACTTATCTAAAACTAAAAAATAAGACAATTGCGTCAAAAAAACAGGTTTTCACTGCTTTCTTTTGGAATCTTTTGATTTCTTTTTTATTATTATGTTGGTTTGTAAAAGAATAAGGTCAAATAAACTTGAGTGAATCAAAGGAACCTACGTTTTTTACGACAAAACTCCTTTTTCTATATAATAACTTACTTAAAATTAAAAATTAAGACAATTGCGTCATAAAAACAGGTTTCCACTGCTTTATTTTAAAATCTTTTGATTTCTTTTTTAATATTATGTTGATTTGTTAAAGACTAAGGTCAAATAACAATGAGTAAATCAAAGGAACCTAAACTTTTTACGACAAAACCACTTTTTCTATATAATAACTTATCTAAAATTAAAAAATAAGAAAACTGCGTCAAAAAAACAGGTTTCCACTGCTTTCGTTTGGAATCTTTTGACTTATTTGTTATGATTATGTTGGTTTGTTAAAGAATAAGGTCAAAAAAACTTAAGTGATTCACAAAAACCTAAGCTTTTTACGACAAAACCCCTTTTTCTATATAATAACTTATCTAAAACTAAAAAATAAGACAATCGCGTCAAAAAAACAGGTTTCCACTGCTTTCTTTTGGATTCTTTTGATTTCTTTTTTGAAATTATATTAGTTTGTTAAAGAATAAGGTCAAATAAACTTGAATGAATCAAAGGAACCTAAGTTTTTTACGACAAAACTCCTTTTTCTATATAATATATTATCTAAATTTAAAAAATAAGACTAGTGCGTCAAAAAAACAAGTTTACACTGCATTCTTTTGGAATCTTTCGATTTCTTTTCTATGATTATGTTAGTTTGTTAAAGAATAAGGTCAAATAAACTTGAGTGAATCAAAGGAACCTAAGTTTTTTAAGACAAAACCCCTTTTTCTATATAGTTACTTATCTCAAATCAAAAGAAAAAACAATTGCGTCAAAAAAACAGGTTTCCACTGCTTTTTTTTGGAATCTCTTAATTTCTTTTTGAAGAATATGATACTATGTTAAAGAATAAGGTCAAATAATATTAAGTGAATCAAAGGAACTTAAGTTTTTTACGACATAACACCTTTTTCTATATAACAACTTATCTAAATTAAAAAAAAAAGACAATTGCTAAAAATAAAACAGGTTTCCCTGCTTTCTTTGAAAATCTTTTCAATTCTTTTTTAAGATTATGTTGGTTTATTATAGGTCAAATAAACTTACCTAAAATTAAAAATTAAGACAATTGCGTCAAAAAAAACAGGTTTCCACTGCTTTTTTTTGGAATCTCTTAATTTCTTTTTTAAGAATATGATACTATGTTAAAGAATAAGGTCAAATAAACTTGAGTGAATCAAAGGAACCTAAGTTTTTTACGACAAAACTCCTTTTTCTATATAATATAGTATCTAAATTTAAAAAATAAGACTAGTGCGTCAAAAAAACAAGTTTACACTGCATTCTTTTGGAATCTTTCGATTTCTTTTCTATGATTATGTTAGTTTGTTAAAGAATAAGGTCAAATAAACTTGAGTGAATCAAAGGAACCTAAGTTTTTTACGACAAAACCCCTTTTTCTATACAGTTACTTATCTCAAATCAAAAGAAAAAACAATTGCGTCAAAAAAACAGGTTTCCACTGCTTTTTTTTGGAATCTCTTAATTTCTTTTTTAAGAATATGATACTATGTTAAAGAATAAGGTCAAATAAACTTGAGTGAATCAAAGGAACCTAAGTTTTTTACGACAAAACTCCTTTTTCTATATAATATATTATCTAAATTTAAAAAATAAGACTAGTGCGTCATAAAAACAAGTTTACACTGCATTCTTTTGGAATCTTTCGATTTCTTTTCTATGATTATGTTAGTTTGTTAAAGAATAAGGTCAAATAAACTTGAGTGAATCAAAGGAACCTAAGTTTTTTACGACAAAACCCCTTTTTCTATATAGTTACTTATCTCAAATCAAAAGAAAAAACAATTGCGTCAAAAAAACAGGTTTCCACTGCTTTTTTTTGGAATCTCTTAATTTCTTTTTTAAGAATATGATACTATGTTAAAGAATAAGGTCAAATAAACTTGAGTGAATCAAAGGAACCTAAGTTTTTTACGACAAAACTCCTTTTTCTATATAATAACTTATCTAAATTAAAAAAAAAAGACAATTGCTAAAAATAAAACAGGTTTCCCTGCTTTCTTTAAAAATCTTTTCAATTCTTTTTTAAGATTATGTTGGTTTATTATAGGTCAAATAAACTTACCTAAAATTAAAAATTAAGACAATTGCGTCAAAAAAAACAGGTTTCCACTGCTTTCTTTTGGAATCTTTTGATTTCTTTTTTATGATTATATTAGTTTGTTAAAGAATAAGGCCAAATAAACTTGAGTGAATGAAAGGAACATAAGTTTTTTACGACAAAACCACTTTTTCTATATAATAACTTATCT